GGTGAGACGGCGAGGCGCTGCTGCTGCGCTCTGCAGGAGGCCAAGCAGCGAAGCGACGCGCCCCCAACGGCCCCTGCGCTGGTGGTCGTCACGACGGGCGGAATCCGAAAGTTGGGGGCCTCGGCTGGGGCGGCGCGGCGGTGCCGGCCCGCGTCCGCGTGGCGCGCCCCGCGGGCGTCGCCGAGTGGGGCATCTCCCCTCCGGGTTGCCGTGGCCGAGTTGCTATGGCGCGGTTGGCTAAGGGCGAGGGCTCATTTGGGCGGGCGAAGGCCTGAGCGGGCGCAGCGAGCGCCTGCTGAGCCGGCCGCGCGGAACAGGTCTGCCATGGGTGATCGGGCGGGGGCTTTCAGCAAACCCCAGGGGAGCTCTGGCGCAGTCGCAGATCGCAGCTGGCGGGGGCCATCATGGCATGCCCGACCACCTCTCAGGGCGCGTGCAGCAATGGAGCAGGAGGGCGTGCCATCGACTGCTTTGCGGCGGGCGCAGCGCGGGAGGGGCGCCCGTGCAGCGCGTGGGTCGACGAGGGGTAGCCGACGGCGCCGCGGATGCCAGTGGTCTGGAGCTCGTGCGCCCAGCCGATCGCGAAGTGGGATCAGGAGTTGCGGCGCTCCAAGCTGATGCTTCCTCGCATCGTCGGGCGCCGAGGGGGGCCGACGGCGCCCCCGCGGGGCCCCCACTTCGGCGACGCGTGGGCGGCCACTCAGGCGTGGGGGGAAGTCGTGGGCAGAGTGGAGCAGGAGGCGCGCGGCTTGCGAGGAGTTGGGTGGTTGGCCCTTGCGCCTGAGGTAGGCGTGAAGAACCCGTCCGACCATCGACGCCAATGGGCGGCGGGGCCGGCCCGGGGGCGGAGCGATGGCTGTGGAGGTGGATCGAGCGCGCGCCTGGCAGCTTGAGCGTGGCCCACGTCGAAGGAGGCATGCGGGCGCTGCGCTGGGAGTTGGCGCGGTGGCGCTTGCGAGTCGCGGGCGAAGGGCGCTCCTTCCCCAGTGCCTTGGAGGCTCGCCGCGCCGCGGGCGCGAAGCTTTGGGCAGACGGGGCGCGGGGGCAGGTGCAGGGCGACGAGGGGCCCGGGGCCTTGGGCGGCCGAGGCCGGCGGCTGCGCTGACGCGGCTGATCGGCAGAGCCGAACCCAGCGCCTCTGCGCGTGGGGGGGCAGGCTGACCAGCGCTGCCTTGGGGCAGCATAAGGGCTGCGCCGTTTCTCCACGCCTGCCCCGCCGCGGCAGCCCACGGGGTCAGCGGGGCCCGCGGCCGGCCCCGAGAGGGCCCCGGCAGCCGCGCTTGCGCCCGGGGCAGAGGCGTTGCAGGTGGGGCAAGCAGAGCGGTAGGAGAAGAGGCCGCGGCTCGCGTCGTCGCGCGGGGAGCTCCGGCCGATCGAGGTGGCGGCGGTGAGTGGCGTGTCGATGCGCTTCAAGCAGCCCGCGGACATCGGCGCGGACCGATGGCGCCCGCCTGTCTTCGACGGCATTGCCGAGGAGGGGCCCCCGTCATCGATGTTTTCTCGGAGGTCGGGCGCGCGCTGGTGTGGCCGAGGCAGGCGGGCCGTGTCGTAGTGTTCTTCGTCCCGATATCGGCCGAGAAGGACGGGGGTTATTTTGCTGCCCGCGTTGGCGCGCTCCAGAAGTGGCGTCGCGAGGGCCCTGGGGACTTGGGCCGCGCTGCAGACGGGGGGCGGGGCAGGGGCGGCAGCGCGGGGGGCCCTGGTGGCCCGCGAGGCTGCCTGCCCGGAGGCCCGAGGGCGCGGAGGGCGAGGCGTTCTCCACGTCGGCCGTGGGCCTGGCGCAGGCCATCGAGACGGTGCCATTGGTGAAGCGTCAAGCCGTGGCAGACCTGCCTGCGTTGGGGCTTCCCGCCGGCAGCCCTTGCTGTTGCGACGTCCATCTTCGCCGTGGCGCGCGCCATCGTGGTGGTGGGGGGCTGCTGCTCAGGCGGGATGGTCACTCAGGCGGCTGGTGTGGCGGGCAGCAAGTTCTCGGCGGCACTGCTGCGCTTGCCGCTGACGCCGGGCCAGCCTGGCTCAGAGGTCACCTCGGGTCGACAGGAAGTTGCGCGCGGGCGACCTCTGCGCCCGGCAGCGGGCGGCGCGGTGCAAGCTCATGACGGGCGCGGAGGAGGTGGTCGACGTAGCGGTGATGGAAGTCGGCCTGGTGGGCGTGGATTTCTCGGCGGGCAAGGGCGGCAAGTTGCGTGCTCGCCGGCCCCCCCAAGTAGCGGGAAGCTACGGGGCCAGCCGTGAGGGGGGTCATCAAGTTGCAGGCCACGGGGGTTGGACCTCGGCGTCGGCATGCCGATGGTGCGCCACTCAGCAAATCGTGAGAGGCAGCAGAGTGCGGTGGCGCCGTGCGCACGCGCGGCCAGGCTGACGTGGCTGCGGAGGCAGGGCAGGCGCATGGCGAAGCGGGTGGCGACGGTCTTCAGGGCGCGCTTCAAGCCGTCATGCATGTACGGCGCCAAGTGCTTGGGCTTGTCAAGGGATCCAGCTACTGCAGTTGAGGTGTTTAGCCGTGAGGGCAGGGCGCGGAAAGGTCGCGGGTGCGCCCTTGTCGATGACGTTAGCCACAAACGGAAAGCAGGAGGACTCGATATACATGGCGACGGCGGCGCCGATCTTCGCGCGGGCGGCTGCAGTCTGCGGCGGGGCGGTCGAGTGAGCCAGTCTATCCATGGCCTGGCGCAGGCAGTAGGTCGAGATGGGCGTCCATGGCGGGCGGCGGGAATCACGGGGGCCCGCCGGAGCGTGCATCTTGTCGCGGCGGCGTGCGGGGTGGGCGCGGCCAGCGTGGGGCACCTGCTGCTCGCACTCGGGCTTGGACCTCCGCGTCGCTAGGGTATGCTCCGCGGACGTGCAGGCGCTGCTCCGAGCTGGGCCTGGAGCTAGAGCTGCGGGCGGCGCGCGCCAAGAGGAAGTCCTGAGGAATGTGGCCCCCGGGCCCCTCCCTGCTTGCGCTGGTCGCGGCCGAGCTGAGGAGCGAGACTGACGGGGGGCGGGGATTGTGCGCGGCCGGCGCGGCGAGGCAGGCGGTGGCGCGCGGGTATCGGGCGCGAGACAAGTTCAGCAGGGTGGGCGCAGCGAAAGGCCCGACGTGCCAGGCCTGTGTCGTCGAGAAGGGCACGGCCCGCCACCGCCATTTCAAGTGCAGGTGCGCGGTGCCGTTTCGCCGCTAGGCCCCGCGAAAGTGGCATCGCGCGGCGGGAGTGGGGCATGCCGACCTGGTCTTGGCGCGGGGGCTCCTTCGGCATCCAGCGGCGGATTGGTTTTCCAGCCCGTGGGAGAACACGCCAAGAAACACTTCGAGAAGTGCGAGGTGCCGCCCGCCGCGCTGGCAGGACGAACGGCGAGACAGGATTGATTTATGTGTATATATAAAACACAGGTGTATGTATGTATGTATGTATGTATGTATGTATGTATGTATGCATGCATGCATGCATGCATGCATGCATGCATGTATGTATGTATGTATGTATGTATGCATGCATGCATGCATGTATGTATGTATGTGTGTATGTATGTATGTATGTATGTGTGTATGTGTGTGTATGTATGTATGTATGTATGTATGTATGTATGTATGTATGTATGTATGTATGTATGTATGTATGTATGTATGTATGTATGTAGGTAGGTAGGTATGTATGTATGTATGTATGTATGTATGTATGTGTATATATATATATATATATATATGAGTGCGGAGGAGGAGGAACAGGAGGAGGGAGGAGGAGGAGGAGGAGGAGGAGGAAGAGGAAGAGAAACAGGATGAGGAGGAGAAACAGGAGGAGGAGGAGGAGGAGGAGGAGAGGCGCAGCAACAGGAGGAACAGGAGGAGGAGGACAAGAGGACGGAGGAGGAAATGAACAAGAAAAGGAGGAGGAGGGAGGAGGAGGAGGAGGAGGTGGACGACGACGACGACCGAAGGAAAACGAACATGAGGAAAAGGAGGAGGAGGAGGAGGAGGAGGAAGAGGAGAAAGAGGGGAGGATGAGGAGGAGGAGGAGGAGGAGGAGGAGGAGGAGGAGGAGGAGGAGGAGGAGGAGGAGGAGGAAAAGGCGCAAATTACCGATGGACTGCTGCGCTTCCCGGGGATCGCATTTGAGGACCCTGCGGAGCTCCACCCGATGTGTTGGGGCCCCTCGTGGGGCGCTGTAGGGCGGTCTTGGACGTTTTTTCTGTCCTCTTGCGGGCCTCGTGGTGCCCTCTTGCGGCTGTCTTGGCCGCCTCCTGTAGGCCTCCTAGGCTGTTTGGGGGCCATCGTCGTCGCCGTTTCCATTGCCGTCGTCGCCGCCGCTGCGGCGGCGACGACGGAAACCGCGACGATGCTGATGGCGACGGCGGCACTCGAGGTTGCACAGGTCTAGTAACAACGGTCCATGCGGTAGGTTCGTGTCGTGTCGGCCAGCGGCGACCTCGCCGCCGTCGCTCAACGTTGAACATCGTTGAACGCCTCCGGCGACCCAGAATCGATCGATGCTGAGCGATTTGACGTGTCGGGAACGGCCACTTGCAGATTTGGTGCTCGCGCTGTCACTGCTCTGCTCTTCTAGGGCTTTGCAGCGTCGTCCACAACTTGCTTTTGCATGTCGGAGCTCCGTAGCTGCCTGCGCGCCCTCCTGTGCTCAGCTGCGTTCTTGCTATTATGGACACTGCGCAGGCCTGACGAAAGCTTGAGAGGTCCCTTCAATGTGTTGGGAACGGCGGATCGTTCAAGGTTGAACGATCCCCGCGGTGTCATAAACCAACGCCGAAGTCGGCACGACATTAATCAGCCGTAATGTTTTTGGGGTACCGATTTGGCTAGAATGCGCCCAGCTTGGCCCAAGTGGACCCCACATGAACGCCTGATTGTAGCAGAAAGTGCCCCCGAATGGCCCCCCAAATGCCGCCCCGAAGCGGCGTCACGGCACGTGCGCCATGTTCTCGGACAGGTTCAATTTTCTGTGCAGGCGCACCCCGACGCCAGTTTCCTGCCACGCTGGCGGGGTCGGTGGATCACATCGCAGGGATTCGGGCCACTGCTGGAGAAGCTGCTCCTCAAGGCACTGCAGGATCCCAAGTTTATCAGCTCGAGGGGCGCGTACAGCACGGCGTCTGCTGCCACCCGCCCGCTCCCGCCAGCCCGCGCGGCTGGCCCTTGCGGAGACGGGGCGCATACAGGACAGCCTCTGCTGCCACCCGCTCGCTTGCCAGCCCGCGCGGCTGGCCCCTGCGGAGACGGATGGACGGAGGGGCGTCGCATCCAGGGGACGCCTGAAGGTTGGCAAGGGCGCCCTCGAGGGCGCGAAGTTGCTCGCGCTTCGCGCTTTGCGGTTTTTCTCCTCCTCCTCCTCTTCCCACCTGGGAGGCGGCGCGAGAGCGCGAAGTTATTCGCACTTCGCGCTTCGCGCAGCGCGAAACGCGAAGTTGGGAGCCCTTGTTGCGGAGACGGATGGACGGAGGGGCGTCGCATCCAGGGGACGCCTGAAGGTTGGAGACCAGCGGGGTCCGTGGGTCGATCGGTCTGCCTGCCTCGCAGGCGTGCGCATTCGGTCCGCTCGGTCGGGGCGTTTGCTGCGCCGCTGCGTCACTGCGGGCTGCGTTCGGTCCGTCGATGTCGGTCGGTCTCGGTTTCGCCGTTTTTTCGGCCGGTGTTCGGTCGTGCCGTCGCCGTGGACGGCACTGGCCCCCCGCAGGGGCCCGAACATGACTTTGTCCCCTGTGTGGTCCTCCATGTGAGCTTCAGAGGGTCCCAACATCCCTTGTGGTTTGGGTGTTTTGTTTATATTTCGTTGGTTTTGGTCGATGTCTGGACGAACTCTGGACGACATCTGGACGCAATCTGGACGACGAAGTCCTGTCAACACCACGTTGATTGTACTGTTGGACCGAGGCACAGGATCGGGGCCGTCGGCTCGGGGTGGGTGCCCCGGTGCTCTTCGTGCTTGTCGGATGCCTCCTGTGCACCCTGGGGAGGGTGTCCGGGGATGCTCGGCGTGTTCTGGCCGGCGGAGGGCCCCGTGCTTGTGAAGGACGCCCTTCTGTCCCTGTTCCGGCGGTGCGATCGGACCCCAGAGGTCCACAGGGGGAGAATCGTCGTCGTCGCCGTCGTCGCCGTCGTCGCCGTCGTCGCCGTCGTCGTCGCCGTCGTCGTCGCCGTCGTCGTCGTCGTCGCCGTCGTCGTCGTCGTCGTCGTCGTCGTCGTCGTCGCCGTCGTCGCCCCGCACGTCGTCGTCGCAGGGGCGGCGAGCTGCCCCGCGCCGCCCCCCCCCCCTCCGGGGGGGCCGGCGGCGCGAGGGCTCCGAGGGGGGCGGCGGCGCGCAGCTCCTCGCTCGAGGAGGAGGAGGGGGAGGAGGAGGAGGAAGAGGAGGAGGAGGAGGAGGAGGAGCTGGACAAGGACTAGGACTAGGACTAGGAGGAGGAGGAGGAGGAGGAGGAGGAGGAGGAGGAAGAGGAGGAGGACGACGAGGAGGACGAGGAGGACGAGGAGGACGAGGAGGGTCCGGCGCGCGAAGAGCGGGCCGAGGGAAAGGGGGGGATAGGGAACGGGTGGGTTACGACATCTGCTGCATGCAGCCGGTTCTGGCCCCGCCGCCGGGCCCATGCCTCCATACATGGGCGCCTCCTGGCGCCGGGAGGCGCCGGGAAAGTTAGCTACGTGAGCTGATTGTCAACCCCCCGCTTTGCTACCCCCCCCTTTCGCCCGGCCCGAGAAGAGGAAGAACACGTACCTGCAGTCGGGCGAACTCGCCCGGCTCGATAAAATTGGGACGCCAGGATCGGTCGCCGCTTTGCCGTAGTCTTGCACAGCAGGGCCCATGCTACACCGTGCCACGCTATGCCTCTTGCGCCGCACGGCACGGCATCACACGAGCCACGGACATCCTGGGGTTTCGGTCATTTTCTTCAATGTTTTCGGCTCTCTCTCGTTCTCGAGCTTCCAGCGCTCCAAGACGGCCGAAGCTCCCAAGACGGCCGAAGAGGCACCGAAAAGAGCCGCAAGACGGCCCAGGAGAGTCTGAAGACTGCCCAAGAGCAGCCCGAGATTGCCCAAGAGAATCCCATGAGAGGCACAAAATGGGCCCCAGAGCGGAAGCGGGAGGCCCCAAGGAACTCCAGGACGGCTCAGATGACCCCGCCATGGCCCAAGAGGAGCTCAAGACGGCAAACACAGCCCAAGAGGCCTCCAAGAGGGCTCAAGAGAGCTCCGAGAGACGTCCCGAGAGAGCCCAAAGAGGCCCAAACCATTGATTTGCACTGGTTTGTTCTATGTTTTTCGCTTTCTTGCGTTCTCGAGCTTCCAATGCTCGAAGACGGCCGCATACGCCCCCAAGACCGCCCCGGGACCGCCGAAGAGGCACACAAAAGACTCCCAAGACGGCCCCAGGGAGCCCAGGAGGAGCCCCAGACGACACAAGAGAGCCCCAGGACAGGCCCAAACTGGGCCACAGAGCGGGAGCGGGAGACCCCAGGGCGCTCCAAGACGGCTCCGATGGCCCGGGCCTCCCCCCTTCGTCCCTCCTTCCCTCCCGCCCCCTCCCCTTGCCTCCATTCCCTCCTCTCTCCTCCTCCTCCTCCTCCTCCTCCTCCTCCTCCTCCTCCTCCTCCTCCTCCTCCTCCTCCTCCTCCTCCTCCTCCTCCCCTCACACCTCAGCTTTCGTACTCCTCCCCCTCCTCTCCTGGGATGGCCCCGCCAAAACGCCAGACAGGCCCCGCCAGAGCGAGCGGGGCATCGCTATACCCTATCATTTCACAAGTTGCTTTCCCCCTTCCCGCCCCTCAGCGGCGGCCCCGGAAGAGCCAGAGCGTTCTGACTACGCGTTCTTTGCGTCGACGGCATGGGCCCGAGAACGCTGGAAATCGTCGTTGTGACTACAGCGGGGCTTACATCGGCACCCGTGGTTCATCCGCGACTAGCACCTAAGCGCGCGTAGCGCGCGCGTGGTTCTAGTGTGTGTGTATGTATGTATGTATGTATGTATGTATGTATGTATGTATGTATGTATGTATGTATGTATGTATGTATGTATGTATGTATGTATGTATGTATGTATGTATGCATGCATGCATGCATGCATGCATGCATGCATGCATGCATGCATGCATGTATGTATGTATGTATGTATGTATGTATGTATGTATGTATGTACGTACGTACGTACGTACGTACGTATGTATGTATGTATGTATGTATATGTATGTATACATGCATATGTATATATATATATATGTATATATATGTATATGCATATGTATTTGTATATGTGTATGTGTCTATGTATATATATGTATGTATGTATGTGTATATATATATATATATATATGTTTCCAGTGGCGCTGCCGCGCGATTCTGCCACCGCGCTCGGGCGGGGGCCTTGACGTGGGGCTGGGCGGGTGCCCAGGGGTGTGAACGTCCCCCCCCCCGGCCCAGCCTTGTATTTCGGCGCATGTTCTGCCTGGGAGCCCCCCAAACAACGCGGGGACCCAGTCGGAGAGCTGAACGCATCTTGGGGCCCCGACGCGTCGGGGGGGGCCCAGCTACTGCTTCGCAGCAAGCGAGCACGCCTGCCGCTGCAGGCGCGGCGGCGGATGTACGGTGCGCAGGCGACGCGGTGCGACCCTCCGAACCCATCGATTCGGACCCCACTTGCGAGGCCAGCCGACGCGCCGAGGTGGGTCTGGGGGAGGGGGAAGGCTTCGTAGAAGCACCTCTGCTTCCTAGAAGGCGCACGAAGGAACCTCCTTCTAAGGAGCCTTTCCCTCTCCCCCTCTCCCCTTCTGCGCGCCGCTGGACGACGCGAGCACCCCCGAGGAGGCCCTGCTAAGAGGCCCTGGTCTGCAATGTAGGGCCGCCGCCTTTGATAAGAAACGGCCTCCGAAGAAGCCTTCCCACCTCGTGCCGACCGGCGCGGGCCCTCGGACCCCATCCCCGTGGAGTAGATTTTGGCTGCTTTTGGCGCCTCTTTCAGGCAGGGGGGGGCTCCATAGGCACCGTTGCAAGCAGTCGCACCAAGCAGAGGTCCCGAGCCAGACCGCCCCCCTCCCCCCCCCTCCGCCCACCGTCGAGACGCTGAGTTGTGCGCGCCGCCGAAGCAGCAGTGACGGGGGAGGAGCATCGCGCGGGCGGAGGGTGTACAAACCGGCCGTGCGTGACGGCCTCGCAGGCAGCGCTTGAGCGCGGCAGCCGGCTGGCGGCCTCCCCTCGCGCGTCCTGGGCGTCCCGCCCCCTCTGTGCACGGGGGGGGTCCCCCAGATCGCAGGACAAGACCGGGAGGGACAAATAGACATCAGCCACGCGCGGAGGGGGGTGAAGGGAGGGCTTCTTAGAAGCACCCCTGCTTCTTAGAAGGCGCGGGCCTTGTCTATAGATGTAAGACCGGCGCCTTCTAAGAAGCAGCCTCCTCCTAAGAAACCCTCCGCCCTCTCTCTACCCCCTGGTGCGCCCCGCCAAGAAGCCTAAACAGCAGTTGTTTTTCATGAGGATGCGGAGACATGATGGGGCACAGCAAGGAAGAGGGCATCTTGGAAGCAAGGGGGGAGCATGGGAATGCCTGTGGCTCGTGCAGACCAGTTTGTGCATTCCCTGGCCCCTTGACAGAGGACGGCGTGAGCATACGTTTCCAGGGCTCCAGAAGCAGGCCTCTCGGACCTGCGTCCAGGCCTCTCCCCCCACCGTTGCGGCGCCGCGCCTTCGCGCGCCTTCGCGCGCCCAGCCGCGCGGACCTCCGACAGTCTTTGAGTTTGTCTGCCAGAAGAATGGGGGGGGGCGGCGAGGTTGAAGGATCGTGGTTCAAGGCCTCGGGTTTTTTTCGGGGCCGCTAGGGGGGGCCGAGGGAAATCAAGCATGAATCCGGGGTGACGAGGTTTGGGGATGGGGCTCCGTCAATTCGAGGCTCTCTGTCTTTGGGCCCTCTCGGGCGAATCTCTTGGGTGTCTATTGGGCCATATTGAGGCGCTTTCGGGGGCCTAGTCTTTGCGTGTCGGAAGGTCGATTGCTAAAATTCGCCCACAGCGTTAGGACATTCTATGCCAAGTTAGGGGCGTTCTCGGTGGGATTTTAGGACCCTCTTGACCCGTCTCTCTGGCCTTCGGGTAAATCACGCAACCTTCCCCAGAAGCCCTGCGCCAAACCCAAGGAAAACCGTCATTTCGGAGCCGTGCCTCTTCTTTCTCCTATTTTCGAAAGAAAAGTATTAAACAAAGGCAACAACAAAAACAATACAGCAGTCAATGCGGAGAGCTCGAAGGCTCCTGAAGACTCCGCTCAGTGCCTCGCGGCACGGTGGCGGATGCAGATCCACCGCTTCGGGAACCGTTCTCCCAGGACCTGCCGTGGGCCCCGCCCCTGGAGGCCCAGAGGTATCCACATCCGCTGCCTCTTCGGGTTATGGGAGGGTCTCGAAAGACGCGCAGTCCTCCCTGCTCTGCTGTTTGCCCTGCACCTTCCCCCGCTCCTTCCCCGCCACGCCCTCCGGCCTGCCCTCCTGCCATCCTCCCCTTGCCCTTCTGGCCTTGAAGGGTCCAGGGTTCGCCAGGTATGGGTTTCCTTGCAGAACAGCCGACGCCCTCCAGAAACCCTCTGGGAGGGGTTCTGGGAGGTTTTTCGGAAGTTTTCGGGAGGGTTTTGGAAGGGTGCGACACGTTGGCGGACCAAGGAACGAATGGACTGGTCAAGTGCAACGACGTGCTGCTCTTGTACCAGCAGGTCTGACAGACCGGGTGGCTTGGCAGTCCGCTGTCTGCCGCCATTGCATGTAGAATTGTGTCCACGCGCCTCGGCATCAGACTTTTGCGTTGCGTTGCGTTGCGTTTCGGGGGGAACCAATCCCTAGCAAACCCTGGGCTTTCCCCATCTCTCTGCCTGCGCCCGTCGACTGTGAAGGCCCGACGGCCGGTTCTGCCGGCCCTGAGAGGTCCTGCGGGGGGCCCAAGGAGGAGGAAGGAGGAGGAGGAGGAGGAGGAGGAGGAGGAGGAGGAGGAGGAAAAGGAGGAGACTGCCAACTGCGCATCTGTCACTTCCGTGAGATTTTGCGGGGGTGCCCAGCGGGGCGGCGTCCTGCGGGGGGGGCCAGATGCGACCTGGGCTCCCGGGGTGCTGCCAGAGGCGCTCCTGCGGCCGCTGTCGTGAGCTTGCCCAGCGGGGCGACGCCCACCGGGGGGGCGATCTGTGCCAGCTCGAACTTGTCACTGTCCCTATGATCGGCATCGTCTTCAAAATCTCGATGCCGACATTAAGGTTTCCCTCAGTTTCTGAGGACATTCCTAATCTACTCACTGCTGCTTGACTGGCCAAACCTAGACCCACACCTCGGCCTCCCCGGTCTGCCTGTCCGCTGCAGGCGGGGCGTCCGGGAGGGCGAGGGAACCCCCTGCCCCTCCCTGCGCCGGGGAGCTTCGCGGGAGCGGGTGGGGCGCTGGATCCCCAAGTCACGATTCTACGCACGGAGCCTCCCCCGGACAAGAAACAGTTTTTATCGCCTAGCCATAACCGGCGTGACCAGGGGGGGGAGAAGGCCGTTCACGTCGCGATGGGCGCCGGCGCCGTTTGGGAGTGTTCCAGCGTAATTAGCTCTTTCCCATGCGGCGCCGCCGCGCATCGTGGCGTGACCGCGGGAGGGAGGGGGGGGCGGTCATGGGCGTTGTCGCGAACAATGAAGGCACGAGCTCTTGGATCCCCGCGCCACGACTCCTCCCTGGGCCGTGCGGAGGGCGTCTGGGGAGGTGTTCGGACCCCTCCGTGCTGCGCGCAGGGGTGGAAGAGGCGCAGCCCGCCTTCGCAGAAAACGAAAAACCTTAACCATAATAACACGATAAGCACTTTGCTTCACGGAGGTCGCAGTCTTTGCACTAGGGACAATACATCTGGACGGTTTGGTTCGATACCTGCAGAACATGACCCCTATCCCTGACGTGTTTGCGCCTTCGTGCAGCTTGTCCCCTAGTAGGGTTGCCTAAGGGGTTCTTGCTTCCGAAAAGCGAGAAAACTGCATAAACACAAACTTTTGGCGTTTTGTCCTCTTCGAAATCAGTCTTGCCTACAGGGTTCTTACTTGGTTGAAGGTTGGCGCCTCGGGGGCTACTTTGCCCGCTCCTCGGAGGTTCCCTGGGTTCCTCGGGTTCCCCGGGGTCCTCGCCCTCGGTGCCTCCGCTCATTCTGTTGCCCGTTCCTCGGAGGTTCCCCGGGTGCCTCGGGCTCCCCGGGTTTTCCGGGTTCCCCGGGTTCCTTGGGTTCCCTGGGCTTCTTGGGTTCCCCGGGTTCCTCGAGTTTCCGGGCTCCCTGCGTTCTTGGTTCCCCTGGTTCCCTGGGTTCCCCGTTTTTCCCGTGTTCCGGGGTTCGTCGGGTTCCCCGGGTTCCCCGCCCCCAGTGCCTCGTATTGCAAAGACCTGGCGGCTGGTGCCGCCGACCCTGAATGACGACGACGACGACGAGCGCCTTCGGGGGCCTCTTGGGGGTAGTTTGAGGGCCTCTTAGAAAGCTTTTGGGAGCCGCTTGGGAGCCTCGTGGGGGCCTCTTGGGGTTTCGTGTGGGGGTCTCTTAGGGGCCTCTTGGGGCCTCTTGGGGGGCTTCTTAGGGGCCTCTGGGGGCTTCCTGAGAGCTTGTCAGGCCGAGGGATCGACATGTCCGTTCGGGTCCCCCGTCTGGGCTCCCTCTTGGAGCCGTCTTGGGGGTCTCCTCGGCTGTCTGGGAGGCCTCTTGGGCGGTCTTGGGGCCCTCTTGGGTTGTCGTGGAGCTCTCTTGGAGGCCTCTTGAGCCACCTTGGGGCGGTCTTGGAGGCCTCTTGGCCTGTCTTGGGGCGTCGGGAAACTGACAAGGCGAGAATGCTGAAATGTTTTAAAAACCTGCGGGAAATCTACGTTTTCTGCCCCTTGGGGCCGTCTTGGAAGTCCTCTTGGAGGCCTCTTGGGGCGTTTTGGAAACTTTTTGAGCCGTCTGGTGGTAACTTTGGCGACTTGGGCCGATACTTTTGCGATTCGGGGCCCTCGAAGACCGTCTTGGGGACATCTTGGGGCACTTTGGCTGCGTCTTGGGGCTTTCCTGGGCCCCCGAATCGCCCGGGGGGGAGTCGTATCTGCCCCGGGATCCCGCCGGGACCCCCCCCCGGCGGGGAAGGGATCAAAGGGAAGGGGCTTCCCTTCGACTCAACTACAACGTTGCTCAATTCAAACGGAATAGCCTCTTCCACACGCCGACTGGGTCGGCGGCTTCTGCCTGTGCTCATTCCAAGCAGTGCCAAGCAATGCCAAGCAATGCCAAGCAATACCAAGCACTGCCAAGCAATGCCGAGCAATGCCAAGTAATGCCAAGCAGTGCCAAGCAATGTCGAGCACTGCGCCCATGCAATAGGAAGGTTTCCCCTCATTGGGGTCGTGCCAGGGTCATTTACTCTAGATCCGCGGGCCGAAGGTCCACGTCCGATCTGGAACCCGATTTCATCGATCCCGACGTCACCGATGTGGTGCGGTCCTCCGAAGCCTTCTCCCCCCTCTGGCTCCATCCGGATGCCTCTGCCGGTGCGGCCATCCGTCCGCGCGGCAGACCGCTGGAGAGACCGCCAAGAACCGAAGGCCGCGTAAGTATGAAGGGGCCCATGGTTAGAAGAAAAAGCAACGCCATAAATCACCACCCACCAAACCACCCCAACCCAACCCGAAGGCTCAGATTTACCCTCGATTTCCAGTGGGGGGGTGTCGGGAAACATGTGGAACCCTTACCCCCCAAACCCGAAATTCGGGTTTTCGGGTTGGGTTGGGGTGGTCTGGTAGGTAGTCAATAAACATAATCCTTTGGCGCTCCGCGCGGATTCCTTGGATCCTGGACTCCCCTCCTTGGCGCGCGGAGCGCTCCAGGGGCGGCGCTGGAGGCGCCGCCGGGGGTGCCCAGCGCGGATCCAAGAACACCGCGCCGAGCGCCAAGAGTTTCTGTTTATTGCGCTTTCTCTTCTTCTGATGGTCGAGCGCCTCTGGGGTCCTCTTCCACGTTTTCGTGCTCGCTTTCCCTCGTGCGGCCCCAGATGCGCTCGGGCGCCAACGTGCTCGCGCGCACGCGCGCGAGCGCCAGCGCACAGCGCGGGCGCCGGAGTCTCCGGCCAAGGTGCCTCGAAAAGGCACGGCCCTGTCTGTCCCAGCTGCCTCTTCGCCTGGCGCCTCCCTCCTCCGCCCTCTTGGATGAGGGAGGAGGGAGACGACGACAACGAAGACGACGACGATGACGGCGGCGGCGGCGACGATGACGACTAAAACGGAGACGTTGGCGGCGACGACGAAATCCGAAGACCAGGACGGCGACGACGACGACCGCGAGGACGATGGCGAGGACGGCGAGGACGGTGAGGACGTCGACGGCACCACTTCGGCCCCGTACCCCTCCTTCCAAGGCCCGTACGGCTCCGATCGGTCCGATTCGATGCCGATCCTGGCCTGCCCGATTGGGCTCGATTCTGATGCTCGGGCTGTCCAGTGCGGCTCGGTGCTCGAATGGTTCTGCCGCGCAGTCCTGCGCGGCTGATCCGCTTCGGCTCCGGCTCCGTGCCGGCGCGGCCTGATCCGGTGCGCGTTCCAGTTTGACTCGATTTCCCGGTACCTTAGGTCACCCGCGGGGGCGCGAGCGCAATCGCGCTTCGCGCGTCGCGGCCCGGGCCTGAGCGCCTGCGCTTCTCCATTGGGGAGGGGGGGGCGGCGCGAGGGCGCGAGGAGGACCGCGCACCGCGCATGGCGGCGCGTGATGCGCGAAGTTGGGTGGCCTTGATGCGATGGGGACTAAGCCGACTCCCTCCTCGACCTCAAGGGGGGAGGGGCGGCGAATGCGATTGCGCGCCCCGCTCCTCGCATGCACGGTGCACTGCTGCGATGTCGAGCCTCCCGCCCCCCATTTTGTATGCCCGTGGCGCTGCTTCCCTCTCGAGCCTCCCCCCTCCCCTTTTGAATCATTCTTTTCTCTCGGGTTTGGGACCACCACGGCGATGCCTTCGCGCGATTGCAGCTGTCTGCCGCGAAGTGTTCGAGGAGGAGGAGGAGGAGGAGGAGGAGGAGAGGAGGA